TGGCCCTCATGTAATCCACAAAAGTATAATAATTCATTGAACTCCTACATGAACAGTGATGAACTTCGAAATTCACCATTATTTTGCAGAGTCATAACATGGGTTAGACCCGTATAATTCTTAGCTTAATTGTACCATCCTTAATCAATATCATAACCGATTTTGAAAATACATGAAATATGGATAATATTGGCCCATAAACGAGGTAGCAAACTTTTCACTTCAAGAATCGATTTTTTGCACATGTTCAGCCCCCATCCTACTTTTCCGAGAATTATTGTCATTTGATTTAAAATGTACAATAGAGGATAATATTCCGGCGCTAATAGATACGGTTAGTGTTCTTGTCTAAACCGATCTTAGCACAGGCACAGCAATGAAGTTCAGCCAAGTCGAGATATCTAGAAAGTCGTAAGACTGATTCTTTATTGGTTAACTTGAAGCGGGAAATTCAAATTCGGCACACGGAATGCAGGAATGCAAGAATGTAGGTCTCATCATATATTACAAGAAAACAGTAGTTTATTATATTAAAGGGATAAACGGCTAAAGTAATTGCGGAAACGCTCAAAGTCCGTCAAATTACAGGTATTACTAAAGTCTGTGCCAAAATTCGATTGGTCCAGCTGGCTTCCATAAATTGCCATGTCTTTCTGAATCGTTTATCGCAAATACCTCGAAAACTATTCAATCGATTTCCGTGAATATTACGAAAATTATGCAAGCTTTTTCAATGTTTCACCTCTCAAAATGTTCCTCTCGATATACTACACCTCAGTTAATTAAAATATGTATATCCATTGATATTAAGTTTTCCAGATATTCCAATTTTTTTTTTTGCCAAAAAATTTTGTTGGCACGGTAACGTTGCGAAAAATCGCGCCATCAGCTTGACATTCGGCATCAAGTTTTCGCTTGACAATGAAATATTTGAGATCGAAGAACGGTTCAATCCGATGATTAATTTATGAAATATTCAACTTTGCTTGAAATTGACTTTCTTAAATATTTCGAAAGCTATTTAATCGATTTCAATTTTTCACCTGTCAAAACATTTGTCTCGATGTGCTCTATCTCAATCAATCAAAATATGTAGATCAGTTCTCATTAAGTTTTCGAGATATTCCAACTTTTCTGTTTTTTCAAAACAAAAATTGTTAGCAGGGTAACGTTGCGAAAAATTCATTCATTAACTTGAAATTTGGCATCAAATGGCCTCTTCGCAACTAAATGTTCGGTATTGAACAAGGCTAGGGCTTTCTTTTGTCAAAATTTTGTGCTCAATCTCTATTCTTTTTCGTTTTACCCACCTTATTTTCGGTCCCCATGTTGATTCGTTTTGCAATCAAATTTGATGTGTTTTCTGATGTCAGTCATTGTATAACTGATTTTTCATCGAACACTTATTCCATGAACTTTTTACTTGCAAAGAAAAATTTTATGAAAAAACCTAACTAATGGAAAATTCTACATATTTGTATAACAAAATTTCTATTAAAGGTTTTTTCTTTACTATTATATTAATAAAAAATGTATCTTCTTTCAAAAAGAAATTCGTTTCGATGCCCTCTGTCTCAATCAATTCCAAGTCATATACCTCATCATAGGAAATTTTTTAAGAATCATCAAAAAATAAGAGAAATAATGCAAAGGTATAAGCACTTTCTCTACCGTTCGGTAGCATACCATCAATTCATTGATGGCGATGAAAGATTGGAAAAAATTACTCAAGGACTTGCTCACTACAACATCCTCGCTGTCATATACTCCTAGCCTTCTGCTTGTTCAAAAGTTTCTTTGATACTCGTAAAAAGTAGTTTTCTCACTTTTATGAAGTATATTCGTATTTCTGATTTCTACTCCATGTATTAGACGAAACGTTTCAGTTTTAACAATGAGCAAACAATAGACTTCAGTGAGTGAACAATCTAAAGGAAAAAATGAGAAAAAAAAGAAAATCCATATCATCTTGTTCCTGAATACTCATGTTACACATGTTCCATCGAACATCGAATCAAGTTGTAAAATTCGCATTTCAACGCTGATAACTCATAAATTTTTATCTTAAATGTATATTTTCGTAACGAATTTTTTCTTCTTCTATTTTCTTCAAGACATTTCCAAAAATTTGAAATAGTGCAGTAATTTCTAGTAGTTGTATTGAATATTACAAATATTTACCTTCAGTTGTTTTCCAACTCAGGAAAAGAATAAACTATACTTCTGAAAAGTCTTTGAAAATATTTTCAGTTTAACGATGGTAAGTAGTTTTAAGAACTTATGAAAGTTAGACTTATACATTTCAACATTTTTTCATAAAATATTGGGTAAAACTCTTAGTCACACTAAATTTCTGACCTTCGATAAGTATAGAAGTGGCTGAGATAGAAGTTTTCTATCTAAAATTCTCACAAGTAGGTTCTTTGCTGACCAGAAGTAATTCATTTTTAGCATGTAAGACGAAGGCACGGACATATTCTGATAAAAACTAAAGCGAATGGAATTTTCATCTGATTATTTATTGAATGAATTGTCGATTTAACGGGGATGTAAAGTATATTAGGTTTTTCAGTAAAGAGAGCACCAATATCGAGGGGTTGCGCCACATATTCCGATGATATACTTACATGAGATATCTCCGGGTGGAGCTTTTTGTTTCACTACGTTCCGATTTATTTAGCCATGAATTTATTTCAACATTTCGGTATTTTTCCCTGACGATTCCCGTTCATGAAATAGACCGACCACTTCTTTAAGTCTTCTGTTCCCCTATTTTATAATTTCTCCTTTATTCATATAATTTTTGTACCGATGCTTATCTGAAGAAAGTAAAAATGGCCTGCACGGGATAGGACCAGACAGCAAAGTCACTCTTTTGCCACTCAAGACAAAGTGCAAGAGTGTCTTTCTAGGCCCATATATATATATTGTTCCTGAGAGCCCATATTCACTCGTCTTTTCTTCTTCTTTTTATTTTTTCCCCCTTCTGAAAGATACGGAGATGGGAATAGAGTGAAGATACTGGTAAGTTGAAAGATTGCATTTTTTCACTCTCAATTTATTCCTTCGAAAGCGAATAATCAAACCCATATTCAATGTGATATTGTCGGAGTTACCTAGTTAGAATTTTGATAGACTAGCATTTTGGCTTTTGTTGCTGATAGGTATCAAGTGTCACTGCACTTTATTGTGGTGAGAGGTGAAGGGAACCTCGTAAAGGCTAATACAATTCCGCGGAAAGGAAGTAAAACGTGCTGATAGGGCAAGAGACAGAGGGTAAGTTTAGTTCTCGCATTTCCGCATCAAGGGTCGCACAGTTTTTTTTCTTTATATAGAAAAAGCTTTTTTCGCTCGACCGGACATTTAAGCGAATTGCTCCCCAGACTCTTAGCGAGTAACCTTCCACTCCTTGAAAGATCCAGAATAATATTCCGTTACTACATCACCTAAAAACCAGTGTCAAAATGTTTATTCATATTCAAATCGGAAACTTCGTTTCTCTCCCTTTATTACTTACTTTTTGATTTATATTGTTTTTGTAAAAAAGAAACATGGCAGCCAAGTATTTATTCAATATCCATACATATACATGCTAAATCTGGTGATATATGTCTTCATCTGGAGGGAAGAAAGAATCCGGCAGCCATCAATCCCCTCAATGGCTGACGGTTTGATTCTCTGAAATGAAAAAAAAAATAATAAATGAAAAAAAAATGTACCGAAGCCGGAATCCCCTTCAGAGGAGTCTCTCAGTGTTGTGGAGAGAGGGGTATGATGCGTTGAACGTATAAAAAAATGCAATGGATAAATAGCAGATGCTGGCATACGAGTTACGTTGGTGTTACGAAGAGCCGACGACACTGCGATGAAGTATAAAATGGTGGATGGGGTTGAAGGACGGGGAAAAAAAGGCTCTGAAAGCCTCGAAAGCAAGCCACCGTCGATTCACGTCGACTCCCGTATCCGACGACGCACCCATGGTATGTGCACTCAGATATATACGAGTGGAAAGGGAAGAAGAGAGAGAATGAGAGAAAAAAAATCACTGGTTTCTATAACAACATGACTATAACAGTCCTTCGACGTTTTACCAGACTTATAAAACCCCCACCTATACCCAATCGCCTGATTCGATCGTACATACACAGATGAATTCATCGCATAGCATCCAACACATACCGCCCACCTTGCAGTGTATTTCCAATAGCTGAAGTATGACGGAAACCACAGTCGCTCCAGGAAATGAAACGTGTGTCTAATTTCCAATGCTCCACCTCTCCCCTCATCGTGTCCCTTTCGACTGATGTGCATAACTACCGTTACTCATCCAACTTCATACATGCTTTTATTCCACTTGTACAAATTTACTACCTCGATACGTGTTTACTTGTTTAGATGGCAGATCAGAAGATTCCTTCTCAAAATATTCGCTACAATAATGTTCCAATAAAAATATTACTGCCAAACTACTTCACTTTGGCTCTTCAATGTGTAATTGGATGAAATCAATGGAAGATAAATATTCAAAGCTTCCCCATTTGATTAGTTGATGATTATGTGTTATCGCCGCTTGTATTATGTTGGAGGTCTCATTGTTGACTTCTCAATTCATCAAGAGATTGGATTTGTTCCTTATTTATTGCGCTTCATTTTGTTGCGATATTTTTGATTATATTTCTCCCTGAGGTATCTTATTGTATGAGATATTTTTTCTATGATAGTTCCACCGATAACCATGGTCTATTATCCAGAAAAAATTTAACTAAATACAGTGTCTTCAAGTGGACCTCTTTTTTTGGAAATAGTATTTCTATTCACTTCACATTTAACATAAAAACCCGTTTAAAACCCTTCTTAAATATTGGTTTTCTTCACGATTATATATTTTGCGTATGCCTTTTAGGCATCACATAGTCGTCCCACTTTGTCGTCATCTCTCTCTTTTAAGATTCCGTTGTAGTGTATTAGGTATGCGGAATGAATACTACAATCGCTGCGACGCGCTGTGCTCCACTGGCGTGTATCCAGAGCGAAAAAATATATATGAATAAGCTTTCCAATTTCCGATATTTCCATGACATTTTTCGATGGGGGCGGTTTCAATGAGATGTGAAACATACAACGAAATGCCATCTGATATTTTACCGACGTGAACGTACGTGTGGGACATCATTTCAAATTGTGAGGGAATTTTGCTCCAACAAAATAAGAGGTTATTTTCCAACCTTTTTAGTATCAAGCAGTCAGTTCTATTCTATGTTTCTCTATTTAAAATAGTTTTAAGATTCATAACATTACTAATAATATCGCGTAAAAAATTCCAAGTTATTGTAGACAAAGGAAAAATGTCAAGCCATTAGATAACATTTGCGTTTCATTAATAATTCGCTTTGGTCAAGTGTACGTCCACCTCCCTTTGGCACGACATTACACTTTCATTAGCTCAGCGGCTCGTTACTCCGCCCTCATCCTATAATTCTTGCTCTCTTCTCCTTTCCCGCCTCCCGAAGGCTTCGGTACCAAGCCTGGGCTTCGTAGCTCCATCAATTTTCCATTAGCCGCTCTCACAGTTAATACGGATATCAACCAATACATTAGAAATTTTATTCGAAAACTTGTCAATGTCACAAAAAGATAATTTACATCACATTCTATGCAGGATTGCCAATGTATGAAACATAACTAAGCATTGATCCAATATCTCCGCGCCGAGCATCCTGTCATCCCACGGAGAGAAATATCCAATAAAAACTCCAGAATAGATCTGTAAAATTTTCTTCAATGACATTTCGCTCCGGATTTACCGAAAAGATAGGCAATTTTTATTGAATTAAATCTTAAAATCGGTCAAACATCTGTTCGACAAACTTCGGGTAACTGAGCGATGACTGGGGACTGACATTTAAACGAGAACAACTATATATTTATACGATATTCTTTTATTTTTTGTAAACTTATAAAATTCAGAAACATGAAATATGAATGTCTCCTCATCAGATGAGTTGCGCAGATCTTCATATGTTATAAGATTATAAAATCATTTCTATTTTCATTTACTATGGATAAATACGTAATTATTGCGGCATCGAATTATAGCGGCGTTTTTCCATAAACATATTATAGGTAATTGCAGTTCAGCCCAGTCCAACGTTCAGAGATATTTCAGGCGAAATTTTTTCAAGGAAATTTTGAAAATATTTAGTCTAGAAGTAGAAAAACCAGTTCCTTGGGTAGAAACAACTCGAGCTTTTAGACTATTTTGATTCATTTGAGCCATTTTTCTATATTATGAATACTGGAAAAATTGAAACTATAAACCATAATTGAAAAATATTATAAATTGAGGAACTCTAAAAGACATGAAAAATAGAAAGAAGAATAAAAGGATCTAGTGACAAAAATTGAATGGATATTGTCAAAATTGATTGAAAGTTGCAGAAGGATAACAAAAAGTTTTAAAATATCACAAAAGGACGTCTTTACTCTAGTCGTTAACGCGCTGGCCCCATGAATAAAGCGTCCCATGAGCGGCAAAAGTTTGAGTCTCGGCGATGGAAAAGATCTCTCATGGTAGAAAAACAAACTCATATAGGCTGTGCAGTTAGTTATGAGTAGGCTAGAGGGAAGAGCGGTCAGGGAATTAGGCTAGGGTACTGCGAAGGTACTAGGAGGGGTTGGTAAAAGACCCGTTGAGATGTACCAGCTGGTACTATCCATATATTTATTCGAAATATAACAAAAATCGAAAAACACAAATAATAAAAAAGTTAAAGAATTCAAAAACGTTCAACATCGAAGAAACAAGAATTGAATTTGGCAAAAATACATTCACAGATGCACAGGAATAATGGAAAATGGGACAAGTTTTAAAAAAATAGACATGTACAAATTGAATTCCCACGCCGCCCGTTTTATTGTAGCTTCCAATGATGTTTCAGCATATTCAATCGATTTTTACCGCTTTCAATGACATATTATTTTTGTTTTTTGTCATGTTCTCTTTGTTTAATTTCGCAATTTTTTCGAATTCGCGATTGACTTCCTGCAATAACGAATTGAGTTTCTATACATTAAATTGGTATTTTATGTTATTGTGGCCGGTAAAACGCGTTTCTAACCTCGCTTTGCTCGGATAAAAAGGCGTTTTCTGCCTACATGCACCTAAAGTGCGCATTCTAACCTCACCTCGCTCGGTTAGAAACGACACTTTCGCCGCATTTCGGCAGAAAAATCGTATTCAACCCTCGGGAGGAAACACAGACAAGCATTCCCCACGTGATTACCACCCTCGCCTTCGGCTCGGGTAGCAATTTTCCATGTGGGGAAGACTAATCTGTTTTTCCTCCCCACGTGAGAAATATACTATTTCGGCCACAATGACATAAAATAGCATCATAGCCACGGCGGAAAAAGTGATTCTGACTCATGCGCGTTATAATCCTCGTCTCCGACTCGGACTATAAAGTCGCATTCGTCAGATTCCCATTTTCCGTCCTAGGCGTAAAATATACTATTTTTCAATTTCTCACTTTCCGATCGAAAAGGAGGAAGTTATTGTAATGATCTCAAAAATCAAACGTAGAATTTTGATGATTTCTTCACATTTTGTGACCTCTAGAATCAACCTAATGAGCATTTAAAGATATGCCGAATTTGTTGAATTATCAGAAGTTGTTTCCAATCGACTATTCATTATATATGATTTATCGCTTCTTAACTTAATCCTCATCTGATTCATCGTAATCGCTCGATTCGAGTTGGACTCGACTCATCATAAAACGATGTCAACTTGACAACCTAGTAGGTTAGATTTTGACCTGCTCTCTTAGATACTTGAGGAGTTGACTGACATAGCAGACCTGTCCCACGTTCCTCCCACTGGGCGCAACCGTAATAATTGTAATGTTACAGTCATCCTGATCTGGGCGAACCACATTACAAGAGAGACGATCGAGCAGAAGGTCAGAAGACTTGATGTCAACGGTGAGTCATAGCATTATGTTTATGGGTTGTGACGTGAAGAGAGATGCGCCCAACTTGCGATCCCACTGATGGTTGAGAACAGGAAAATTAGCGTAAATTATTGTAAGGGCTATCTGTGCCTGCTAATTCCGAATTAAGCAGGTGATTGGGAATTTTAGGGGGAATTAGGGATCGATAAATAGTTAAGGGAAAAGGTTAGTTATGGACAAATCACAACGGTCTGTTAATCGCGCCACGAAGAGGAATAGAAATGATTATCCGTTTCGATGAATGAGAACACCGTTTGTAGAATCTCCTCGGGATGTACAGTCCCGCGTACAGTCCAGCACCCCGAAGAGAGGGATCCGTGAGATATTTCTGGTACATTTTAGAGGTGGAAGGTCGTTATGGATGTTTACGACCAAAACCCCACTAAGTTGCCGTGATCGTTTGTATTTGTCGCATGATTGGTGAGTTAAGAATTTGAAGTTAAGTCCGCGGATCCGCCGGGAACCAACTGGGTAAGACTAGCTGCGATAATGGGGGTTTTTAGGGGAAAAAGTAAAGTTTCGGGTCCCCTTGGAAATTTAAATGGGGAGATATTGGCGCACTGTGACCCCTTCGCGTTTAATCCACTTGAACGAACGTTCCGGTGAGGCAAGAGTTCGGCCATTTTTAGCAGCTATCGTCAGGACGCACGGGCCAAAAGACCAGTT